AAATCAAAAGAACTACCTGTTATGCTGCTATTAAATTGGGAACCAACAATTATATTGTTACAATGTGAACATCTACTTCGTAAACATTGGCTAGATAAAAATGTGCGATCCAGTAAAGCACTTCTCATAAGATAATCTCGAATGTTTTTAGGACGTCTATATGCTAAAATAGGTTTGAACTTGGTATGTATATTTTTAACGCTTACCTTATCAGACAAAAGTAATAGATCCCAATATTTATTTAAGATTTCACCAATATTAGGCAGAGATGTATTAAAACATACAGTAAAAGGTATTATTGAACTAGTATTTTTAACGACAGGACTTAGAGCATCATTTTGGGACATGCCTTCAATTTTAGAAAACGCTTTCTCAATAATAGATTTAGGATAATTTCTATCAAAAAAAATATCTATTTAACGTATCTAAAGACTGCTTAAAAGTACCGTCATCGGAAATGACACGTCTATAACGTTTAGCTTGACTAAACGGGATACCACGCTTACATGATAAAGGATGAGAGGATGTAAAATCTAAATACAAATGCATATTTGTAGGTTTGCAAAATATATCGGTAACAATTTTTCCTGTTACGTCTTTAGATACAGAAACATCAAGAAAAGGTACCGAACTTTTAGAAATATTGTAAGTGAATTTAATATTCGGGTGGAAACTATTTAAGGAATCTATAAAAAAGTTTAGCGTTTCCAAAGAATCATTCCAAATCATAAAAATATCATCTAGGAAACGTAACCAGACATCAGGTTTTACATAAGTAGAGTTAAGAAATTGCTCTTCTAGTCTACCCATGAATAATGAAGCATAAGAAGGTGCCATAGGGCTTCCCATTGCTGTGCCCATGGTTTGTAAATAACTCTGATCGTTAAAGTCAAAGCAATTATTATGTAAAACAATATTTAACAATTTCCTTATATCATTAGCTTTGATGTTATTGTTTCCTTTATCTTTCTGTAAAAAATATATACAAGATTCAATACCTTCATTATGAGGGATATTTGTGTATAATGATGAAACATCAAGGGTAACTAGATAGGTGTCTTTTTTTTTTTTTTTTTTTTTTTTTTTTTAGTTATGTCATAACACACATGATTTGTGTCATAATTGAATTTGGTTGCGTTTAAAGAAACATGCTCAATATTTAGTTTAAATTTTTTTTTCACACGAGAGGACTTTAATAACAATATTCATATATGAGTCCATATAAACTTAGTAAATTTTGACCATGTTGACCATGATATATCAAATATTTGTAGAGTATCACACAATTATGATGATACATGATTAATGTCTACGCGTCGGATACTGTTGGTTAGGAGAAAACAGATTTAATACATTAGTCTTTGTCAATTAAGTGATACTCATTGCAAAACCATTTTAGACTGCAGTAGCATCACACAAATGTATGCATGTTATATCAGGCTACATCCCAAATATCTAACTTAAAGTCATTGTACTTTAACACTTGATGTTTTAATGTGTTTTCCTATAAAAGTCTGTGAACCCAGGTGGCTCTATGAGCACGATACATTAAATAGGAGGTATGTTAATAAAGACACAAGGTGGTGCTACATGCTTAGTACCTGTGCTCTGTGCATTTTGATTTTTGAGAAGATTTTTTATTTTGCATGTGCACTTAATGATCCAAAAGTGTTTTATGTAACTTTAAAAGAGGTCTTCTTTACTTTTCAGGGTTATATGGTGACTATCTAAGCTCTATGCATTGTAGTTTGTTTGTTTGTTTATTTATTTTTTTTAAATAACAACAACAACAAAACTTCAATAAGATTCCCTACACAGGTCTTTAAAAACTGTGTTCCTCGTGAGGGCATTTAAATCATGCTCCTGCAGTCCAAAATGGCTTTACCTGTCACTTTGTTTACATTGACTTATATAATAAAATTCTTCTCCGAAACTACAGTGTACAGAGAAGAAAATATATCGTATATCATCACATTGTGATGCTATATAAAGATTATGAATTATTTTGGCAAAGGGTCAAAATCACTTAGTTTACATGGACTCTTATTGGAATATAGTTATATGAGTCTTCTTGTAGTTCTGAGAGCCTAGTTATTGGGCATGTTTCTTTTCAAATAGTTTATAAATCATGACTGTATTTGGTGAAAAAAAGATACTCCTTATATGATTTTAGCATTCTTCAATATTAAAGAATTATAGACCTTTTCCAGCAGTGGATCTTAGGCTCAACTATTCTTTATTGTTTAATGGGGAAAATAAAGTATAAATACATTTAGTTTATATTCCAAATCATAAGCTGTGTAATGTGGGTCAAGCGGTTTTATTGATACCTATTTTAGCACACATAGATAATATGATTTATCATGCAACTGCTATGGTTACTGCCCGATAACACTTGCCTGATAATTATTTTTGATATCACGTCAGTAGCCTGATATCAAAAATTAGCCCCGCCCATTTTAACGGACTTTTTTCAATTGCTTATATTCGAGCATTTTCATCAGCATGTGAATTCTACAATGTAATCTCATACCCTTACAAGTCTTGAATCAATATGCGAAATTTATTTATTTATTTATTATTTGGATTTCAATTACGAATAAATTAGATAGCGAATAGTTTTAGCACCAACTAAATGAAGTGACGTCATAATTTATATTGCAAATGACATCATCGATGTTCACGTCATACTATACATGTAATCATAACAAACAGGCTGACGATTTTCTTTGAGAACTTGTAAATGTTTACTTTATTTCGCCGGATTATTATTTAATAAGTGAACAAATTGTTTCGTTTCAAAAATAAGACGCATGTTTGTGTAGCTTGTGTTTGATTGCCGATTTGACTTTTCTTTGATTGAAATTATCGTGAACTTTTGAATTTGACAATTCAAGACAAAAATTGCAGTAAAGTTTAGTTTATGTGATTCTAAGCGGATTTTTGGATCGATGTTTAAATTAAAGGTAAGAATGTTATCGTATTAGGCCTACATTCTGTTGTATCTTTTATCCGAGTCGAAAGAAAAAATGGCCGCCAATTACAAATTCTAAGTGTCAGGGGCGGAGGAATTTCTTTTCAAGAATTATTTCTTTGAACAAAAATTCCCCTTTTTAACGAAATTCGCTATTTAAAAGTAGATTATTTTGTTATTTTGACAGTTATTATGTGTTACATAATAAATAGAAAAACATGCTACTGTCTTTTGATATCAATTTTATCAGGCTCGGCTGATATGGGCAGAAAGGGCTCGGCAAGCCTCGCCCTTTCTAGCCCATATCAGCCTCGCCTGATAAAATTGATATCAAAAGACAGTAGCATGTTATTCTCTATGTATCAGTCGCCTTAATTTTTGTTTCTATTGAAAATATCATGTCCACATAAGTTATTAGAAATGGACAGTACTTACTCAATTATACTTGGTTACAATGATGTGCAAGTAAATATAACTTTGAATCATTACAAGCTTTTAGCAAGACTAAATTGTCCAGGAAATAATTCTATTCATAAATAGACAACATTTCACTCATGTCCAGGCATGATTTTATCTAACATGGTTCGTTTATGAACAATTATCAAATTATATTAAGAATATTGAAACAACTTATTTCATGCAAACACATTTAATATTAAACTGAATGTATACATATGATTGTATCTGCATTTATTGATATTTTAGTACACCCTCGAGACCTGAAGGAAGACAAAAAAAACCTTAATACAATAAAATACTTTTACAGTGAATATTTGCATAAGAATTCATAAAAGACGTTATTTTGTACTACAATTGTCTGATAAATTTACCCCACCCACTTTGAATAAGTATAATACCTTCACATTTTTTTTTGTTTTTGTTACAATTATACAATAAAACATAGTGTTGATTCAATATCAAATACACTTTAAGAAACTATGTAACTTTTGGAATTTTGTACAAAGACCTAGAAAACCATGTTAGAGAAAAATGAAAAAAATGGCACTTTTTCTTTGATATTTTTAAAGATTTTTTTGTACCAAAAACTAAAAACATGTTTAACAATGTGGTTAACCTAAAATTTGATTTTTGTTCTAATATGTTTAATAATTTTATATGGAAATAAACATACTGTGTGCAAAAAATTATACTACAAAAGAGATATATCAGTTTTCATTAAAATTGGCAGCCATATTGGACGCCATTTTGAATTCTGAAGAAATATGCAAGCGAAATTGCTTAAGGATTTAAATATTTGAAAAGGGAAAACTATATGCATATTTTGGTGTAAGTTTCAAGTCTGTACAAAAAATTGGAATGAATGAGCTATTATGTACGTCAAATTTATATGGCGGCCAACTTGAAAGCGGCGGCCATCTTGAACGAGCAGAAATATTTTTGGGCCCACTTCACTTTTGAAATCTACATGGTCCAAAGATAATTTCCTGAAAGTTTCATGCTTGTATCACAATTTGCACTATTTTGACAGCAGAGACCTTATTTCCCGCCCCACTAATTCGCGTACGTTAAATATCAAATGCATTTTTATTTAACTTGACACAAGATATGATCATAACGATATAGTAAGCGCAAATATGGAAATATATACTATGTCAGACATATCTCTACAACCTTTAACAGGAAACATAAATTATGATGTTAACTATTTCAAATCCAAAGTTTTCTTCTCTCCATTGTTATTTATCATTGTTAAAAAGACATTCAAAAAACAAGCTGAACGTTATGCGACCCAAAACTTCAACGGACTAACATTTACGTAATGTCAGTTTTTTAATGCATGATTAAAAAAGGAACCTGAACAATTTCTTGAGTCAGTATTCTAATAGTGCTTAGATGTGTGCGTAAGAATTCCTACTTATAAGTAAATGAAAAATGCTCAAATATTAGAAGGAAAAGAAACAAAATGATCTGATTATTTGTTACCATTCTTAAATTTATAGACTTATTTAGTGTCATGTCTCCTTAAAAGTAAATTTCTATATTGTACTTTCGTTTCATTTAAAAGAAGTCCATATGGGAGTGTTAAGAAATGGCTCAAACAGCGGGAATGCAGGACGTGGCAGACAAGAGACCAACAATGTCAATAGCACGACAACTTTTCAGATGCCATACAATTGTTCTCGAAAGCTTTTTATTGAAGGCATCGGATTCATTGATATATCCATTGTAAATGGTAGAGAAATCAAACTTTTTGACATCGAGTTTCGTAGCAAGCTGAAAGAGAACGTTTCCTTCTCATTAGAAGAAAGAAAACTAAAGGTAGGAACACTATTAAAGGATATTTATTGTTTATGTATATTCTTATTTTATGGAAATATAAACTTCCACGATAGCAAGGAAAACAAAAAAAGTATAGGTTGGTTTTTGGATTAGGCGGTCGTCATAATTATAAAAGTAACAAAACTGAATTGCCATACGGGACAGTTTATTTTAAAGCTGTGGATATTAAATTATGCCAAAATGGGAACCCGAAAATAGATCCCTCAAAAATAAACTGACGAAAAACACTTTTAACACGGTCAGCCGTCTACTTGTTAAAAAGCAATTAAAGTTATACATTTCATATTCAGATTCAACCAAGTTTTTACACTACCGTCACTGATAAGGAAATCGACCCCGATCAAGATGTGATGGTCACTACCAAAGTAACGCAGGGAAATTTGACTATTCGTTTAAAAGCTAGAAATGGTGAGTTTTATATGCATATACATGTACTTGATTCAGACGGATTCTAAAATCCCTTACACATGGACTGAAAAACCAACAGTTTTCGTTGTTATAACTAAATGACATGTATGTTATTTTGCAAACCGTCTGACGAGTATCCCGTAGCCCTGGTATCTACATTTACTTCAACTGTAAAGTTTGAGTACAAAAGGAATCGTTTAAAAATTATTGAATATCTTTTGTATTGTCAATTATTGAGAGCGTTATATATGGGTATACTTTTCTCCATTTTATAAAAATAAAGTCCTTTACATTTACCAATTACTGTAAATGTATAAAACTTAGATCCATTTTATTACGAAGAATACATAGTTGTGAGTATAGTATCATAGATCAAGATTCAGGACAAAAGCACTTACAGAAGGCAAAAGATCATTTGGCGAAACTTATTTATACTGCATCCAATCATTTTGAATGCATTTTGCCGAATATTTAGTCATATACGTGAAGCTCATTTTAACAATTTAGTCATTTAGTCATAAATTTCAGGAAATGTCTTGCTACATCAACAAACTGAAATATCCAACACGGGTACAGATTTGACACAAGACGTGGCCAGGACAAATATTGACGAAGACGCTGATGTTGATGATACAGTTCTGGCATTTGTCGAGGTTTCATCTCCGGGCGATGAGCATGCCGATATGACAGACGAAGGAGCAATTGCAGCTGCACCTAAAAGCATATGTGCACCTGAAGGAGATAAAAGGAAGAAAGAAGATAGCGTTGATGATGTTGATGATGATGAAGACGACGAGTTCGTTGAAATTGAATAACAATACTATGTATTTATTCATTGATTTCTATGAAATCTTGGCAAGTTTTTATATTTATATTTCCCCTCCCTGATTTACATTTATTTCATTTCTTAAAATTCCATGTCTGACATCAGTACAATTTAGGGGATATCAAAAATTTAAGTGTATAATCCATAGAGCTATGAGTTCCGTGTTCAGAGATAAGTCCATAGAAAAATCTTGATAACAATGTATATTCATATTTTCTTTTCAAACTCTATTAATATAATGTGTCCGAATTAATGTAATGTTAACTTATTAAGAATTTTGTTATGAAGCATCTGAAAAAAGTGTCCTAGCTTGTTAGTTATTTTGCTGTTTTACATCCTCGTCTTAAAATTGATCCTTTCATTTTGGTACTTTTGTATTATATTATTTCTAAAGAGTTGATTTTCGTGCGCATTTTCAAAAGCGTTTATGAAATGTGCAAAAAGCAATAAAGCATTATAGCATAGATGTCCGGAACATGCAGCATTCCAAACTACTAGTATTGTGTCAGTTGATATGTTTTTACTTTAATATAATTATCAGTATTGTAAGATTTTCGGACACATCTGTGAACATATTTTCTCAATCTTCCGGACCCTCGATCCTTCACCTGCTGGAACCAAAAGCAATTGGCCTTTTTCAGGCCAACACTTTGACTAGACTCTATACGTTTGGTAGTTTAATTATTGTCCTTTGGCATTGAAATATCGTAAACATTAAATGTACCGTTCTAAATTCGAAGCACGACAAATCCGCTCTAATCTAACAATTACCCGAACTTGGCTTAATATGGTAACATTTTGAAATATACAATTAACTTTTATATTCTACTTTATATATAAGCAATGTAATGTATTGTTAGTTTAAAGTTAACTTGATGTTTACTTGCTAATCTTCTGGGTCATTTAATGTCCTGTCTATGCCTGTTTATGTGGGTCATTTAAAGCCCTGTCTATGCCTGTTTATGTGGGTCATTTAAAGCCCTGTCTATGCCTGTTTATGTGGGTCATTTAAAGCCCTGTCTATGCCTGTTTATGTGGGTCATTTAAAGCCCTGTCTATGCCTGTTTATGTGGGTCATTTTAAAGCCCTGTCTATGCCTGTTTATGTGGGTCATTTAAAGCCCTGTCTATGCCTGTTTATGTGGGTCATTTAAAGCCCTGTCTATGCCTGTTTATATGGGTCATTTAAAGCCCTGTCTATGCCTGTTTATGCATGTGAACGAAGGTCATGATTGGTGTTAGTGAGAAATTTTGGAACCTCGAGTTAGTCAGCTTATCCTGGTACTTTTCTAAAAATTTCATTGAAAACTTTCATCATCATTATCATCATCATCATCATCATCATCATCATCATCATCAACACCATCATTAATATCGTTTTCTTCGTCATTATCATAATTTTTATTATCATTTATGTTACATTTAATGTTTTTAAACATTTTTTTTTTCAAAATTTTATTTTCTTATGAAGGTATATTAGGGAATGTAGAAATTGTAATTTTCTGTATTGCTGTAAGTCAATCATGAGATATACATTATGTCAATGTCGATCTATATAGTATATCTTACAATCTTGAACTATTGCCCATTGATTTAAAGATTTTAATTTAAAGCAGGTATGTTAAAGATATACATGTATTGGGATCTTTATCATCAAAACATCCTATTTATTGTTGACGCTATGACGCTTTACTTTGTCTATATTTGTATTCATTTAAAAATCAAACAATTTGCTAAGAATATATATTTAAGTTATCAACTTTAAATTGAACGATGTGACAAGGGTAAACATGCACAATCATTGCATTATATTCGTATTCAATTATTCAAACTTTGAATAATTGATAATTTCTAAAATATGCGCTACTTATGCATGTATTATATACATGTATAATCAACCTAAGATAATATTCGTGCTAAATTATTGTTAACTTTGAATAATTAATATATAGTAAAATATGCGCTACTTATTGTTTAAGGATATGTATATATACATATATATATATATATATATATATATATATATATATATATATATATATATATATATATATATATATATATATATATATATATATATATATATATATATATATATATATATATATATATATATATATATATATAAGTAAAATCTCTAACTTGCCGTATATAAGCAAAAACGCTAATTTAAATTTGCCGTAGCTTTCGGCCTTGCGGCCTTCTTCAGCAGCATTTATTTCACATACAAATATATCAAACAAAAACAATGGAAGTGACGTAACGTCAATGAACGACGCCCGCCGTGGCGTTGGTTGCCGTCTGCCGCGTTATTCTTTTGTATTAACTCCATACGGTCTATAGGTTCTTAATTTATTTTTCCACAAATTTTCTATTGTTTTTCTGTATTGGTCATTCCCGTATAGCTTTTCCAGCCCCATTATCGAAAAATCTTTAACTGTGTGGTCATTCGTGTAAAAATGCGCCGCTAACGGATCGTTGTACTTGGTTCGTATTCTGGATAAATTTAGAAGGTGTCTTTGGTACAACGTATCCCCTGTTTTCTCCAACATAAATATAACGTTCGCAACGCTTACAATAAACTGCATACACAACATTCGTAGATTTGCAAGTGATCTGATTTCGAACCTTATACGAGGCCCCGTTCACACCAATGAATGTGTCTGCTTCAATAACGTACGGACAAATCGCACACTTTTTGGATCTGCAAGGAGCACAGGAATTCGGCTGTTGAAAAAAATAGTTTATTGTGTTTCTTATGAACGAGAATGTCTTGTAGATTATTATCTCTTCTAAATGCCGCAATTGGTGGATTCGGGAATATTTCCTTCATTCTATCTGAGGTGTGTAATTCAGGTAGGTGTTTTCGTACTATTTGTCCTACATTCGGGAGCGCTCTGGAAAATGTCAGTACCAAGGGGATTCTTTCAGTGTTTTCTTTATCTTCATTATACTGTAATAGGTCACTTCTTTTCTTACTATCTACTTTATTTAATTCTGTTTCAATATGTCGATCTTCATAGCCTCGTTTCTGTAACTGAGTTTTAATATTATCTCTATGTTGTTTGTAAGTCGATTCATTAGTACATATTCGCTTAGCACGGAGGGCAAGTCCATATGGTATTGATTTTTTTGTCGATTCCGGATGAGACGAATTTTTATGCAAGTACAGGTGTTTATCAGTGGGTTTAGTGTATAGGTCTGTTATTAAAATGCCATTCTGAATCTTCGTCATTACGTCGAGAAACTCAAGTTTTTCAGCTGAATATCTTAATTCTAATTTTATTCTTGGATGAAGGTTATTCCCAAGCTCATGGAATGTTTTTAACGACTCGATACCGTGAGTCCAAAGGCCCCAAACGTCATCAACATACCGGAAATACTCAAGCGCAAGTTTATCTGTTATCGACATCAGCTGTGATTCCCATGATCCAAGATATGTAGATGCGTAATTCATCCCTAATCGTGAGCCAATCGCTGTTCCTTCTGTCTGCGTAAATTTTCTTTCATCAAATGAAATAGTGTTATTTTCAAGGACAGTGTCCATCATATTAAGAACATCTTCTGTGGGTATGTTAGGGTTGGCACGTTGATTTAATGCACGTGCAACCGCATCTCGTGCCTCTGCCCGTGGGACACTTGGGTACAGAGCTTTCACGTCTAAACAGAAAAGAATTGTTCCTGCCGGAAGTGGTTGTTTAATATTCTCTAATTTTCTTAAGAAATCAGTGGTGTCTTTAATATATGAAGGAAGTGATGTCACATGGGCGCGTAGCTCCATTTCTACTATTTCTGCCATTTTCTCCGTAGGATGATTTCTCCCATTTACTATAGTTCTCAATGGCACCCCTGTTTTATGCAGTTTCGGATTACCTTGCAGTTTACCCGATGTACCACCAGACGACGTCAAATATCCTTTTAAGTCTTTTGAAATTGATCCTTTCTTGCACATATCATCTGCCATCTTTTTCACTTTGTTTTCAATAGTTTTCGTTCTATCTTCGTTCACCTCCATATAAGTGGCATTGTCAGTCATCTCGGCCTGAAGTTTACCTCTGTAGTCCTCTGTATCCATAACAACGATACCAGACCCCTTATCCGCCGGACGTATAACTAAAGTATCATTATTTAAGAGCTCTTTCATTGCTTGTTCTTCAGTTCTTGTAATATTTGTTTTGAATTTTCTTTTTAGCCCATTAATTATATCATCTTTTACTTTCTTGATGTATGAGTCTAACCATTTATCCCTACCAGCACTTGGCGTCCACGTTGACTGCTTCTTTTTACTGTCATATTCATTTTGTGTATCGTTTTCTGTTTTCTTGTCATGAAAATACTCTTGTAGTCTCATTCGGCGTTCCCACGTGTTTAAATCAGTTATAAGTTTGCCTTTATCTATATTTCTCCGTGTCGGTACAAAATTTCAATCCTTTTGATAGTAGAGATAGCTGTGCGTCACTCAGCGTTGTTGACGACATGTTAACAACAGCTTCCTGTTTACCAAATATCTGTAATTCCGGAATTTGGAATATTTTCATAAGCTTCCGGTGACGTCCTCTTTAATTTATCCGTGAACGGTTTTGGGGAATGAATCAAGTCATTGGGGTTGTGTACATCTAATTCCGGTTTGTGGGGCATGCGCAAAACATCAAAATGATCACTCATATGTCTTAAGCATAAATAACTACTTCTTGATGAATCGCCCTCCTGCATAGGAAACTTAAGCCAATTATTTTCTAGACCACATATCACATTCACATATATGTCGATACCATAACACATTGCTGCAGCCGTAACTTCTGCCTCAGTAGCCCATGAACACGTTTCTCCATTTACTAATAGCATGTTCCGTACATGATCTCTAAAACTGCCATCAATCAAATTTGAAAAGTACAACTCATTATTTTCTATGTATTCTACTGTCGTATTCCTAACTTCTCTATGTTTAGATGAATCCCCAGAATCTCATAAGCAACACAACGGAAGAAACAATTCCATCTTTTTCTACTTCTATCAAACTGCCGTTTGGATTATTCTGTCGCGTAGTTTTAAGTTTTTTCATTTTTTGCTTTTTCAAACGTAAAAGATTTATCTTCGATTGTAATGAAATAGATTCGAGATTACTCATTTCTGTAGAGAAAATGTCTTCACTAACATGTAATTTAAATGTATTTACCAATTCATCGTGTTTTGTTGTTGCACTAGACACTACTCTGTTACAAACATCTACTGCTACATTCATCAATGATCGTGAAGTTGACGAAAGTATATCTTCTACCCGCCGTTTTTCCGCTCCATTTATGTCAAAGTCCAATTTCCATTTGATATCAAAACCGTTTGGCACTAATTGTTTTTCTAAGCACTCCTTCAAAAAATGTTTATGACTATCATATCGATTTATTTTTTCTATCAATTTCCGTAGGCGGCTCAATTCCACTGCTTCCGTAGTCTGCTTCATATTTGTTGTTGTTTTATAAAAGTAAAATCTCTAACTTGCCGTATATAAGCAAAAACGCTATTTTAAATTTGCCGTAGCTTTCGGCCTTGCGGCCTTCTTCAGCAGCATTTATTTCACATACAAATATATCAAACAAAACAATGGAAGTGACGTAACGTCAATGAAACGACGCCCGCCGTGGCGTTGGTTGCCGTCTGCCGCGTTATTCTTTTGTATTAACTCCATACGGTCTATAGGTTTCTTAATTTACTTTTCCACAAATTTTCTATTGTTTTTCTGTATTGGTCATTCCCGTATAGCTTTTCCAGCCCCATTATCGAAAAATCTTTAACTGTGTGGTCATTCGTGTAAAAATGCGCCGCTAACGGATCGTTGTACTTGGTTCGTATTCTGGATAAATTTAGAAGGTGTCTTTGGTACAACGTATCCCCTGTTTCTCCAACATAAATATAACGTTCGCAACGCTTACAATAAACTGCATACACAACATTCGTAGATTTGCAAGTGATCTGATTTCGAACCTTATACGAGGCCCCGTTCACACCAATGAATGTGTCTGCTTCAATAACGTACGGACAAATCGCACACTTTTTGGATCTGCAAGGAGCACAGGAATTCGGCTGTTGAAAAAATAGTTTATTGTGTTTCTTATGAACGAGAATGTCTTGTTTGATATATTTGTATGTTTGATATATTTGTATGTGAAATAAATGCTGCTGAAGAAGGCCGCAAGGCCGAAAGCTACGGCAAATTTAAATTAGCGTTTTTGCTTATATATATAATCAACCTAAGATAATATTCGTTCCAAATTATTTTTAACTTTGAATAATTTGACACTAGTGAAATATGCGCTATTTATTGTTTAAGTATGTGTATGTATTATATACATGTATAATCAACCTAAGATAATATTCGTCCCAAATTATTTTTAACTTTAGAGTAATTTGACACGCATAAAATATGCGACATTTATTGTTTAAGCATGTGTATGTATTATATACATGAATAATCAACCTACATGACCTAAGATAATATTCGTCCCAAATTATTTTTAACTTTAGAGTAATTTGACACGCATAAAATATGCGACATTTATTGTTTAAGCATGTGTATGTATTATATACATGAATAATCAACCTACATGACCTAAGATAATATTCGTTCCAAATTATTTTTAACTATAGAGTAATTTGACACGCGTTAAATATGCGCTATTTATTGTTAAAGTATATGTATGTAATGAGTCATTTCAAACTTTAAATAGTTTGACACAGATAATGTTACTCAATGTATTTACATATTTTGTACATTGTATATTATGTTCTGTTCTATAAATATTGTATATAGATTTGCTATGCACGATTTAGTATTAAATACGTATACATTTGATATAATCGACTTGGAATAATGTTATATTTAAACAACTATAAACTCTGAAACAATTATTCATGGGTAAATTAAAACATGCACAGTTCAATATTTACCCGCGTTTACATATATAATCATTTTAATATAATATTAATATTCC